AGCATCACGCGATCGTTTTCCTTTCAGCGGGCGCTTGAGCCACAACGGGCGTTTGAATGTATTGACATGTGCATGTGAGACATGCACCTAGCGCCTAGTTCCCTTTGACAATATATATATATTAATAATAATAATAATAGTAATAATAATAATAAATAAAAATAAAAATAAATAATAATAATAATAACAATATATAATAATATATATATATGAAAATAGGATCCGTTTCCATTGTGCTGCGTTGTTTGGTAGTGTGATTATCATGATCGTCATTGTTCTCAATTGTTCTCACTATGATCATCATGATTACTACCATCGGAACCCTTTTCAAAAGATGCAGAAAAGTGTCTTTACCCAATCTAAAAATAGAGATGCGAAACAAAAACACCGTTTCAGCCGTTCAAAGTTAGGGCAGTCCAGGGCAGTGGGTCAACCGCCCCCCACGGGCTACTCCAAAAACGCCGAGCGCCGAATAGCGCCGAGGGACTGCTGCACCTGACGGGTCTGGGTGATGATCTTCGGCACGTGCACAATCTCCTCTTCCTGGACGGACGCGGAGAGCTGGCACTTTTTGCCCCGGCTGTAGAGAAGATGTGTTTACATAGCTATAGAAGATATTATATATATATATACAAGATATGAGAAAATTTGAGAAGATATGGATATGGATGTATATATATATATATATTTGTTGGATTTTGGATAATTGAGAAGATATTAGATGGTATATATTAGGCATGTGTATATAAATAAAATTAAATAAATACATGTTGTATTGGACAAAGATATCTACTGCATGCAACACACATACAGCGCGAAAGCCCTTGTTTTGCGGGCTCCATCCCACTCATGGGACATCCGACCATCGGTACCTTGCTGCTCGTATCATAGGCATAATCCGGTGAAATTAGAAACATTGATTCACCCAGTATATCTAACATTCTTAACCCCTATTGACCCATATTAATCAATATTAACCCATATTAACCCATATTAACCCATACTATGATTGTCCCTCATCCGATCATCAAGAGTTCTTCTGATCATCAGCATCCCTGTAGATGATCCGTCCTGCATTGGCACAGGAATCTCGACCACCTGTTCCTGCGGTGCAGCCTGACAGCCCCAATTCCTGGTAAAATGCCACGTTTCTTCCAAGATAACTCAAGATGATGGTGTCTCAACATGTTTTCTGCTGGATCCTCGAAAAATGGATTCCAGTTGAAATTGTTGTCTCTGCATTAAATGACAATGTTCTGTCAAACTTTGCAAGAAAAATCTTGGCCTGTTCCGCAACAGGAACGTCCACCTTGGCCATCAGAGAACACGCTTGGGGGAATCCTGTGACATTTGTTCGGTTTCGCCATGCTTTGCCAACCAAATCACGTGGTGCCCAAAAAGCGTTCTGCCATGAACATGTTCCATTCTGGGATCACCTCAAAAAAACTCGTAAAATTGGTGTTTTTCCAAGAAAAAATCTGATCCTAGCGATGGTGAAATTGGCGTCACCCAGTTTCATGAAACCCCCATAGCCACGCCACGAACTGCTCGACGTGGCGGTGTTGTACACGTTTTTGCTCCACAATCTGAGGCACCTGGCAGACATGTCGCCCTAGAGATGACATATGACAGATCAGTTTCCCTAGGGATTCCCTGGGAGGCTTTTCCAGATCTATGTTTGTAGCCCAAAGTAAGTGGCTATGATAATTACCCCTAGCATCTAGGGACAGAATGCAGCTACGAAACATGTTTTCCATGTGAACTCCTGAAACCTATGGCCCCATAATTATATAGAAAGACATTGGAATACATTGGAAATCCCAGCTACGACATCCCAACTGATCCCCCCCGGTGGTTCCGTGGCGGACGTGAACGACTTGTTCCACGACTTGCTCGATCTGCTGCTGGATAATCTCTGGCACCTGGCTTGGGAAAGTAGGGACCTCCCAAATAGTGATCATCGTGATAATCTAATACTTAAATGGTACCAGCCAATTAAACAGCCTAGGGCCTAGGGATTTACTAATCCAGGGTTGACATCAATTGCGGGAACTATGTCTGCTTCTTGCTGGTGTTTGTAAGTATCATAAATATTCTAGTATGACTATCACAACTTTTATAACTATAACGATCATGACTATCATAACTATCATAGCTATTCATAAATAGTATAGCTGTTATCATCATGCTTAGTTCTCATTATCACTATGATTATTATGGCGTTTATTCTCTGTGTGTGTGTCATGTTTTTCCTTGGGGGAAAAGGAGCTCTTCCGAACGTAGCATCCAAAAAGGGCCAGGGGATGGCCAGGGGCTGAATCGAATGGAAATCTCCGTGTCTCCCCCAAGTTCTTGGCCTTCTGAAAGGCTTCTTGAGGGCTTCTGAACCGGCAGCATCCAAAAGATTCCAAAAAAGGACATATCTTCTTGGGGTACCCCTCTGGTAAACTAACATAGCTATGGAAAATCACCATTTTTCATGGGAAAATCTACTATTTCTATGGCCATTTTCAATAGCTACGTTAAATTACCAGAGGGTACCCCTTTAAGGTGCCCTTAGATGTCGAAAACCTCCGGATCTAAGCGATCCGGAAAACGCCGACTGGCCAAGAAATGGGGGGGAAATCAAGCCCCTCAAAGGGGCAAGGAGTTCCAGCGTGAAGATTTGAATGTGATTTTTTATTGATACCCTCTGGTTATGACCAACATAGCCATGGTATAGATGGCCCATAGAAATAGATGGTTTACCGAATTTAATAGCATGGTGATTTTCCATGGCTATGTTAGTCATAACCAGATGGTAATCAACTATGATACCTGTAACATGGGTCATCACGCCAGCATGTTTCAAAAAAAGGGAGCTTGGAGGCTTCAATCCCCCACCCAAATCTGCTAGGCTCTTCGAGCTGGACCAATACCCACATGGGAGAAACCGTGTATGTTGCAGCGTGTGAGCTACTGGATATTGGCCATGTTGCCCATGGTAGCTATGGACATAGCCACAATCCTATGCCTTTCACTGATGCATTTCCATAGCATAGAGGGGATGAGCAACCAAAAACAATCCTGTGTAAGATTGTATCCTCACGCATCACAATATGCCGAAGTTACTCACCTTCACTGTCCCAAATATAGGACCAAAAAAATCTCCACGAAAACAACAAAAAACCATCTCCGCGATGGTCATGCCATGTCATCTCCAGTGGCACCAGTGGCACCAGTGGCACCATTCCAGGGAGCCCAGATGAGCCCAGCCTCAACGATCTTGTTGATGTACTGCACCTGTGAAGATCGGTCAGTGAGCGGCCAGGTTTTTTTGGGTTTTTTTTCTACATTTTTTACATGGTTAAACCCTAAAACACCCTGAAACAACGTGAAACAACGCAACTAAATCAACTGCCTTAGGATGAGAATGGAAAAGGTCCCTTTGTGGCCCACTGTCAACTTTTTCAGGAAGTATTTCCATTGTCTCGACTCGATGGGGATGGGGGAAACCCTGCACCATGGAAGAAGGATTGTACCAATCGGTTTGAGATACTTAGTGATAGCAGCAAACCTACGGAAAATCTGGCTGACATCAACCATGACTTCCTGCAGGAATTGTTTGCATCTCCTTCCTTAGAGGGCAGTTCCTCCATCCCCTTCCGCCAAAAAGACGTGGAGTTGTCGACACTTCCAAGTCTGGTAGGTCACCCAAACTCCATCGAGTTGATCGCTTTTGGGGGGCCACGTCCCGGTTTTTGTTGTGTCCAACCCAAAAAGAATGAGAAAATACAAGGGCCCTGTCCAGCTCCCTCTGTTGGAGCTTTTCCCCAGCCATTCCCCAGCCATTTCCTGCTACCTTCCCAGGCAGAAACCCATTACCTTCCCAGCCAGCACCAGCACCTCAGGCACTTCTTGTTCCTCCACAATCTCTTGGATCGTTGGAATCTCCGTGATCTGGCGAAAATCGCAGCCATCGCGGCCATCGTCATCTCGAAGAGGAACCAATAAAAACAACCATTGTTTCACCAGGAACCAACAAATGTCTTCAAAATATGTCGAAATGTAAATATGCACGTATCCAAAAAGAATCGCCAGTTCTGTCCATTCTCATTACTAATATATACAGTATACGAACTCTAGTTGCCCTGGCTGGTGGTTTCCCATCTGAAAAAAATGCTCGTCAAACCAGATCATCAGCTATATCCCCAACAGATCTCCATGACATCTCAATGTTTGTCCTAGTTCAAGCCCCATGTTTCACGGTAAATTCCATGGATATTCCACATTTGTTGGTCAAATACCCAAAATTTCACAGTTATATCAAGTTATATCATCCTTTTTTCCTAGTTAGATCCCCATGTTTCATGAGAAACATCCCTGTTTCACGGATCCTTGCAGCACCGATCTCCCCATGCCTTCTGTTTCACCTGACCCGCCACGACTTGCTCTTGTCGCTGCATCATGACCTATCACCCCCGGTAAAAAGCCGGCGGTCGCCGTGAACCCCCGGGAAAAATGCCGTGGAACAGCATTTTCACACAGGGAAAAATGTGAGTTCGTTGAAAAACACGAAGAAATGGAAAAACGTATGGAACATATATATTATATTATATATATATATTATATATATATTATATATTATATTTCAACAGTTTTCCATCGAAAATGATCCATGTGGAGATTACCCATTGGGCCATATTCCATGGCTGTGCTAGATTACCAGAGGGTTTTTTTGAAATGCAGAAACAAATGAAATGGCTGTGAGTTCAAAGTTAAATGGAAGAGATGGGAAAGCTTGGAAATGAAAAGAATCCAGAGAAATCCTGAAAAATGACAGGAGGAACCAAACCTTCACATAGATTTTGACCTTTAGACCCAAACACGGTTGGAGAGTTCCAATGTAGCATGAATCGGTTTAATGGAAAATCGAAACCAGAAGCAACATGGTTTCCATAGTTTCTTGCAGATTATCCAGTAAGAAATCCTCTGATTCACCTAAGTTCAGGGTTGGTCTTGACCCATCCACATACATTTTCCACAAGTTGGTTCCCACTCCACCAGTCGAAATTCCAATGATGACCCCACGTTCCGCAGAAACCAATAAACATCCTAAAGCTAACCCCCCCCCCTATTTTCCCAAATCTCCCACAAATCTCCCACAAGCTCCTAACATCTCCTAAGCCTTCAGCTGCCCCAACCCAAAGTGTCACCGCCCCCAGCAACCCTGACCTGAGGCGCACCCTGGACTTCACTGCCCACTCCTGCAAGGTATTGTGGCTCACCCTCCACCGACACGGCTTGAAATTGGGCCGCCCAGTGCCTCAGTGGCTTTTTGTTTTCGAGGGCTGGAAGGTGGTGGGGAAAGGTTCAAACATTTGGAGGATCATCCCACCAATCGTAACTGATTGGTAACTGGGGTTTTTTCACCATTTATCAATGGGACGGTTCGCACTAGAGGACTTACGTAACACCAGGCTTATTAACCACTGACTAAGTGGGACGATCCACTTACTCGCCAAGGGTACCTTCTTTATGATCTCAGTTCGAGGGTTCTAGATGGTTATAGCTGTTACCATTTGGTTATGACTAACATAGCCATGGAAAATCACCATGCTATTAATAGGTAAACCATCTATAAATGGGCCATCTATACCATGGCTATATTAAATAACCAGTGTTTTTATGGCCCCAAAAGAATTCACCGCAAGAAGCTCAAGACTTGGATCTGTCGCCGAGGCACGACATGGTCGCTTTGGATGGGTCAGCCACACTCTCCACAGGAACGTTGACCTGACCCGCTGCCACTTTGGGACGGACCCTGCTCGAAAAATCACAACTGGGTGTGAAAATCCCACATTTTGATTGATAAGGAAAAAGACTACTTGGTGGCACTTGGGTCTGTCTAAAAACGGGCTACCCCCAAATCGAGTGAATAATCATCATTTCTCCCACAAAAGTTGGCATCAAATGAATGAATGCCCACGTTTTGAGCCACAACAGGTTCACGTCGGTGTGATGGTCCTGGCATTGCCATCAAGCCTGGGAGAAGATTAATTACAAAAAAACATGATCCTAGCCCTACAAATAGAGGGGGTCTCTGCAGGTTTTCCCTGGAATCACTTTCATGGCTCCTTCCAGACTGACATCATCAGTGAATCTAAAACTGATCCCCTCCATCTGCCTGTGTCACGGATCCCATGATGGTCTGCAAGGCCGTACTCCTTCGCGCAGGCGGAAAGGTCTGGGTGGACACCGCCGTCTCCACTGCCGTGGTGCTGGTGTTCACCGGGTCCCCACCAGTTCCCACCGGCTCCGCCGGGGCGGTACCAACGGGCTGGGTGCCAGTGGGCACTGGGGCAGCATAGGTGGGCGCCATCATTGTGGGCACCGGCTGCGGCGCAGCGTAGGTGGCGCCCGGCACCACACCAGGGGCACCATAGACCGGCACGGCACCAGGGGGTGCTCCGTACATCATGGGCGCGGCAAAGGTGGTGGGGGCTGAGTAGACGGGAGCGGTGGTCATGGTGGCCTCAGGTCAGGAAAGTGTGAAAAGTCAAAGTTGCGATGACAGTGTTGAGGGTTTTGGGGGGGTAAAACATAGATCATATATCCCCCTTCATTTCCAGTAAGCAATAGCAGGAGCGGGAGTGGCTTAGGATCTGATTAGTCCGTTGCTCCGAACATTAAATAACCCCCCAGAAACCCTCATTCAGTATTGGATCTATTCATTTGGGGGGCCCATGGCGGGGATGGGATTGCGAAACCAATTGTAGTGCATGTCAATGGTTCCCTCATCAGCTCTTGATGTTCATTTCCATGAGTGGACACAATTTCTTATCAATATGACAAACCTATGGCTTTTTGGAGATCAGAAATGCTTGGTTCACCAAATGTCTCCTTACTGCCTCATGACCATCCCCCCAGCCAGAACATCCCAGTCACCGGAGCAGTGCCATATGTCACTGAACCTGCCAGGCGGTAGGCTTCATGGCATGCTGGAGAATCCTTGGTTTATAGTTGACTTCGGGATTTCCCAGCCCGCCCTGATTACCGGCAACGATCATGTCAAGGGAGAGACCGTGACCCGGTGCCTCCTGGCATGGCAGCCATAAACCTCAAGGGCTTCCCCAATTGCAGGTGTACTGCATTGGAATGGAGAGGCGGACTTTGTTCACATCTTTCGGCAGCATATTGGGCATTGAACTTATCAAAATGTGCTCTGTCGACCAGTAAAGAGCCCACTGTCACAAAGAGTGCTGACTTACAGTCTCCGAGTGTGGCAAAAAAAACAAGAAAATCCTGCAGTCGCAGACTTGCATTAAGAATGCTCAACCAAGTGTTTCCTCCACAGCCAGACTTGCCATGCCATCTTTGTCGCCCAACGCCCGGTCCCTTGGGCCACCGAACTCCTCACGGGAGATTTGCCCATCGTGGTTGCGATCCTCAGAATCCATGGCCGCTGGGGAATCCCGGAACTACATCGTCAAAAAAATGGTGAAAAGCGTGTGGTTTTAAACAGGGGATGTTCCGTCATAAAACCTAAAAACTGAGATACCCTGAATCATTGTATCAACAATTCTATGTACCTACAAATAAAAATATCATTTATCCATCATTTAACTCCTATTATTAAACACCCCCATTCTATGGTCCCAATGATGTGGAAATCCCAAAAAATCCACCATGGTTTCGTTTGGGGGTGTTTAATATTAGGGGGAAGAGATGTAACCAACATCTCCTGTTTCTGAAATTGATCGTCCCAACCGATTTCTCCGTGTGACTTCGAGAGAGACTTCAGATTGTGTAAATCCGATTGAACCAACCTACGATCCGGAAAGAAATACCGTTCAACACAAAATGACGAAAATCAAATGGTGAAATTTAGGAAATACCATCTAACTGAATCTAACTGATGTTCATAGCATTTCGTGGTTGATGAAATCAACTTGTTGATGACGTCCCATAAATCCAGCTCCAGAAAATTCTCTTCCAGAGCCTATTGTTGAGGTTCCATATCAAAATTAGATGTGGAATTTACCCATCAATGATAGGCATTTTCGGTGAAGTTGGAGCTCAAATCCACCATTTCCCCAGTGAAAACTCACATCCTGGGCCCTCCTGGGCCCTCCTGGGCCATCCTGGGCCCTCACCACCATGCCGAACATGAACTCCTCCCTGGAGATCACACCATCCTGTGACTGTGTCCCGCTGTGTTTTCAAGGCGCCAGGCCACATGCATCAATAGATATATATATATGTAAAGCTATATATGTGCATATATCATATAGAAACCAACAATAAAATACAGGCTAGTAATTCAAGAGAAAAGATGGTGATCTCCCCCAAAAAAAGAAAAGGAACAATAAATGTCACCATTTCCGAAACTGTACTTACCAACTTCTATCTGCTTGGGAGTTGCCACATTTTCGCACAAAGAATACAATAGGAACCAATAAAGAGATAGAGTTCCGTAATTAGCCGTAATTCACTATTTTTTTTGAAACAGCATTATGTATGTATATAATATATAGTCCTACTGGAGTAGATAGAATATGTCTTTGAACAACTTACTAAAATTCTAATATGTTTGAAAATACTGTATTCTATCTACTTCAGGATGATTGTATGCATATACATACAAACCCCAAAAGATGGGGTTCAATACTTCACCATCTTCTTGGAAACATTCGTATTACTTGTATATCATTTTGAAAATCTATGTGTTGATATACCAATATTTATCTGTATATATAGTATGTAATTCTTCCTGGAACCCCAAGGACCCCTGATTTTGACAAGCTTCTGCTAGAGCTATGAAGTCAGACCCTCAACACTGGCCATGTGGCTTTGAGGCATGTACACATATACATTGGTCTTGTCCTTAGAGTCCTTCGTATATGGTGCAAACTTTCTGAATGCGCCTGTATGTACAGATAGGTATTGCTTTGAATGTATAAATTACACACATCCCATCGGATATTCATCGCTTCAGCTTGTTTTCTCCCAAGCATTGGATATGAAGCTGACCTCCTTCTCTGTAGCCATCTAAATGTATTTTACGTATATAAATATATGTATAATATATATACATACAGATGTATATATATGTATGTATATGTATACACATCTATATCTATATATATATATGCATGTATATGTATATATATGTGTATATATATGTATGCATATCTATCTATATATATATATGTATGTATATATGTATACGTATATATCTGTATATATATACTATACGTGTATATATATATACATACATATACATATACATATATATATATATATATATCTGTATATATATATATACATATATATATATATGTATCTGTATATAGATATACGTATATATATATACGTGTGTATATATATATACATCTCAAAGTGACACATGAAGAACTCACCACGTCTTCCGCGCACAGCTCTTTTTCAACCACCTACCAAAGTTCAGTCTGTTTCACCTGCTCTCCTCAGGTTTGCTTTGGATGTGTCACAATGTGACTCGCACATAGCCCCAGACCGAATCACCTCTGGTCAGCAACCTGTCACCGCAGGTTGGGACCTGCCTTTGCAGGTATCACCCGTCCCTTAACCTAAGGGAGGGAAGTTTCTTTTGGTCGCCCCAAAAGAGTATCCCCGAAAGAGGCTATGTACTCGCCTGCCATGCAGGCTCCCCTAACCTAGGCGGACATCTCCACGGGAGGTCGGCTCTTAGGGTTGGGAGGGTGGGGAAAGAAACAGCAATGAATGCTATTTTGGCTCAGCTCCACTTGAGCCAAAATGAAAGCATTCATTGACTCACTTAAAGATGACACATGCACACCCAAGCCTGCCAAACTCAATGCATGAATACATCTCAAAGTGACACATGAAGAACTCACCACGTCTTCCGCGCACAGCTCTTTTTCAACCACCTACCAAAGTTCAGTCTGTTTCACCTGCTCTCCTCAGGTTTGCTTTGGATGTGTCACAATGTGACTCGCACATAGCCCCAGACCGAATCACCTCTGGTCAGCAACCTGTCACCGCAGGTTGGGACCTGCCTTTGCAGGTATCACCCAACGCACTCAAACACCCAAAGCACTAGAGGAATTCAAAGGTGAGAATGACTGCAACGAATGGCAACTGGAAAAAGATTGTGGGGAGGTACGACGAATGAAAGCTAGATCCATGGCAGCGCCACCAAGTCGTCGGCCCAGTTGCTCTTGCTCTGGACGTACTCCCAGTAGCCCTGGGCACGCAGTGCGAAGAGGGCCAAAGGAATCAGATGGCCTAGCTTTGCTAGGTCCGAATTGCTAGAACGTCCCCTCACTAAGGTCATGACTGCAGCCACAGCGTCGAGGAACCATAGACCGTGTCGATGGCGGAGAAGGCCAGGGCTCTCACTCAAGGTGTAAATTACCATGGAGAGCTCCAACTGCGCAATGTGGGTCTCTGCAGGCTGCCACAGGAATTGTAGTTCTTCGCAATTGGTAGCAACAAAACTGTAAATTCACGTTTTGGCTCGAAACGCATCACTGCTTCGATCACCTCGAAGCATTCTTCAATCTCTGAAGTCAAGCTGGTGACACTCTCGTCCTGGCAAGCCTTCACTGCCATAAGGTCACCATAGCCAACTCGCCCATAGATGCCCTGCTCCTCAAGTTTCCCGAAGTAAGAGCACCCGTACTTGGAAGCTGAAATTCGCTTAAAAGTTCGAGCCAGATTCATGGCAAGTGGAAGGCACCACCACGTAGGATCGCCCCCACGTGGGCCCCAAACCTATGTCACAAAAGCAAGTAAGGCCACATCAAGTAGGATTGCCTCCGGCTTGAAACCCAACCTGCTTACGACAGCAGAGGCCTACAGCCTTGTGGCCACTGCCTGGCAATGATCATGGGCAACCTGTGAACCTCAAGTAGCGTTACCTCTACTTGGAACCTGGCTTGCTGGGGCAGGCAAAACTAACAGCCTCCAGTTCTGCTGAAAACGCAAACACGGGTGCCAGCAAGTAGGATGACCCCCACTTGGACTCCAAACCTGAATCACTAAGGCAATAAGGCCACACCAAGCAGGATCATCTCCTCCTTGAAACCCAACCAGCTTAAGCCCACAGCCCTGTGGGCACTGCCTGGCAATGCCCATGGGCAACCTGTGAACCTCAAGTAGCGTTACCTCTACTTGGAAACCTGGCTTGCTGGGGCAGTCAAAACCAACAGCCTCCAGCTCTACTGAGAACGTAAAAAAAAGAAGAAAAAAAAAACGGGTGCCAACGAGTAGGACCCTCACTTGGACCCCAAACCTACGTCACTGAAGCCAAGCAGAATATTTCCTGCTTGAAACCCAAACGGCTTGAGACAGCAGAGGCCCATATCTGTGAGCGCACTGCCGACACCCAGCTTGCTTGGGGGAGTCAAAACCAACAGCAGCCCACGCTGCTGAGATTGCAAAATCCAAGTTTCCAGAAGTAGGATCACCCCTACTTGGAAACTGAAATTCGCTGAAAATTCGAGCCATATTCATGGCAATTGCTAGGCACCCTCAGGTAGGATCACCCCCACTTGGATGCCGAACTTATGTCGCTAAAGCAAGTAAGGCTACACTAAGTAGGATTACCTCCTGCTTGAAACCCAACCAGCTTGAGACAGCAGAGGCTTACAGCCCTGTGGTCACTGAAGTAGCGTTACCTCTACTTGGAAACCCAGCTTGCCCGGGAAAAGTCAAAAACCAACAGCCTCCAGTTTACTGAATGCTCAGAACCTCAGGTGTCCCGAAGTAGGAGCACCCGTATTTGGGAGCTGAAATTCGCTTAAAAATTTCGAGCCAGGCTCCTGGCGGGTGTTGGGTACCACCACGTAGGATTGACCCCACTCGGATCCCAAACCTATGTCACAAAAGCAAGTAGGGCTACATCAAGCAGGAGTGCCTCCTGCTTGTAACCCAACCTGCTTAAGACAGCAGAGGCCCACAGCCCTGTGGTCACTGCCTGGCAATGCCCATGGGCCACCTGTGATCCTCAAGTAGCGCTACCTCTACTTAGAAACCCAGCTTGCTGGGGGCAGTCAGAACCAATAGCCTCCAGCTCTGCTGAAACCGCAAAAATCCAAGTTTCCAGAAGTAGGAACACCCCTACTTGGAAACCGAAATTCGCTTAAAAACTGGCGCTACATTCATGGCAAGTGTTGGGCACCAGCGAGTAGGATCACCCCCACTAGGGCCCAAAACATATGTCACTAAAGCAATAAGGTCACGCCAAGCAGGATTACCTCCTGCTTGAAACCCAACCTGCTTAAAACCCAACCTGCTTAAGACAGCAGAGGCCCACATCTCTGTGCTCACTGCCGCCACCCAGCTTGCTTGGGGAAGTCAAAACCAACAGCCCCCAGCTCTGCTGAAATTGCAAAAATCCAGTTTCCAGAAGTAGGATCACCCCTATGTGGAAACTGAAATTCGCTTAAACAATTCAAGCCATATTCATGGCAACAGCTGGGCACCCTCAGGTAGGATCACCCCTACTTGGACGCCGAACCTATGTCGCTAAAGGAATTAGGGCCACACCAAGTAGGATTGCCTCCTGCTTGGAACCCAACCTGCTCAAGACAGCCCTGTGGTCACTGCCTGGCAGGGTCGATGGGCAACCTGGGCTTCTCAAGTAGCGTTGCCTCTACTTGGGAACCCAGCCTGCTTGGGGCAGTCAAAACCAACAGCCTCCAGCTCTGTTGAAATTGCAAAAACAAACCATGTTTCCAGAAGTAGGATCACCCCTACTTGGAAACTCAAATTCGGTTGAACTTCAAGCCATATTCATGGCAAGTGTTGGGTACCCACCAGTAGGATCACCCCCAATTGGAAGGACCCTATGTCGCTAAAGCAATTAAGGCCACACCAAGTAGGATTGCCTCCTGCTTGGAACCCAACCTGCTTAAGACAGCAAAGGCCCACAACCCTGTAGTCACTGCCTGGCAGTGTCGATGGGGAACCTGTGAGCCTCAAGTAGCGGTGCCTCGACTTGGAGACCTAGCTGGCTTGGGGCAGCCAAAATCAACAGCCTTTAGCTCTGCGGAAATTGCAAGAATCCAGTTGCCAGAAGTAGGATTTCATAGCAGGTGTTGGGCACCCTCAAGTAGGACTACCCCCACTTGGACCCAAAACCTATGCCACTAAAGCAATAAGGCCACACCAAGTAGGGTTACCTCCTGCGTGGAACCCAACCTGCTTAAGACAGCAGAGGCCCACAACCCTCTGGTCACTGCCTGGCAGTGTCGATGGGCAACCTGTGGCCTTCAAGTAGCGTCACCTCTACTTGGAAACCCAGCCTCCTGGAGGGAAGTCAGACCCAACAACCTCCAATTCTGCTGAATTTGCAAAAAAAAACAAGTGCCCAGAAGTAGGATCACCCCTACTTGGTAGCTGAAATTCGCTTAAAAATTCGAGCCAGATTCATGGCAAGTGCTGGGCACCAAAACGTAGGATCGCCCCCACTTGGACCCCAAAACTATGTCACGAAAGCAAGTGCGGCCACACCAAGTAGGATGACCTCCTGCTTGAAACCCAACCTGCTTAAGACAGCGGAGGCCCACAGCCCTGTGGTCACTCCCTGGCAGTGCCAGTGGGCAACCTGTAATCCCCAAGTAGCGTTACCTCTACTTGGGGCAGTTAAAACCAACAGCCTCCAGCTCTGCTGAAAATGCCCCAAAAAAAAAAGAAAGCAAGTTGCCCAGAAGTAGGATCACCCCTACTTGGAAGCTGAAATTTCCTTAAAATTTCAAGCCATGTTCATGGCAGGTGTTGGGCACTCTCAAGTAGGACCACCCCCAACTTGTACCCAAAACCTATGCCACTAAAGCAATAAGGCCACACCAAGTAGGGTTACCTCCTGCGTGGAACCCAACCTGCTTAAGACAGCAGAGGCCCACAACCCTCTGGTCACTGCCTGGCAGTGTCGATCGGCAACCTGTGGCCTTCAAGTAGCGTCACCTCTACTTGGAAACCCAGCCTCCTGGAGGGAAGTCAGACCCAACAACCTCCAGTTCTGCTGAATTTGCAAAAAAAAAACAAGTGCCCAGAAGTAGGATCACCCCTACTTGGTAGCTGAAATTCGCTTAAAAATTCGAGCCAGATTCATGGCAAGTGCTGGGCACCAAAACGTAGGATCGCCCCCACTTGGACCCCAAAACTATGTCACGAAAGCAAGTGCGGCCACACCAAGTAGGATTACCTCCTGCTTGAAACCCAACCTGCTTAAGACAGCGGAGGCCCACAGCCCTGTGGTCACTCCCTGGCAGTGCCAGTGGGCAACCTGTGATCCCCAAGTAGCGTTACCTCTACTTGGAAGCCCAGCTTGCTTGGGGCAGTTAAAACCAACAGCCTCCAGCTCTGCTGAAAATGACAAAAAAAAAGAAAGCAAGTTGCCCAGAAGTAGGATCACCCCTACTTGGAAGCTGAAATTTCCTTAAAATTTCAAGCCATGTTCATGGCAGGTGTTGGGCACTCTCAAGTAGGACCACCCCCAACTTGGACCCAAAACCTATGCCACTAAAGCAATAAGGCCACACCAAGTAGGGTTACCTCCTGCTTGAAACCCAACCTGCTTAAGACAGCAAACGCCCACATTTCTGTGCGCACTGCCGACACTCAGCTTGCTTGGGGCAGTCAAAACCAACAGCCTCCAGCTCTGCTGAAAACGAAAACCTCCAAGTCTCCACAAGTAGGGTCACCCCTACTTGGAAACCAAAATTCGCTTAAATACTGACACCACGTTCATGGCAAGTGTTGGGCACCAACGAGTAGGATCACCCCCACTTGGACACAAAACAATTGTCACTAAAGCAAGTACGGCCACACCAAGCAGGATCACCACCTGCTGGAAACCCAACCTGCTTAAAACAGCAAGCGCCCACATTTTTGTGCGCACTGCCGACACCCAGCTTGCTTAGGGCAGTCAAAACCAACAGCCTCCAGCTCTGCTGAAAACGAAAACCTCCAAGTTTCCACCAGTAGGGTCACCCCTACTTGAAAACCAAAATTCGCTTAAAAACTGACGCCACGTTCATGGCAGGTGTTGGGCACCAACGAGTAGGATCACCCCCACTTGGGCCCAAAACATATGTCACTAAAGCAATAAGGTCACGCCAAGCAGGATTACCTCCTGCTTGAAACCCAACCTGCTTAAGACAGCAGAGGCCCACATCTCTGTGCTCACTGCCGCCACCCAGCTTGCTTGGGGAAGTCAAAACCAACAGCCCCCAGCTCTGCTGAAATTGCAAAAATCCAGTTTCCAGAAGTAGGATCACCCCTATTTGGAAACTGAAATTTGCTTAAATTTCAAGCCATACTCATGGCAACTGCTGGGCACCCTCAAGTGGGATAATCCCCACTTGGACGCCGGACCTATGTTGCTAGAGCAAGTAAGGCCACACCAAGTAGGATTACCTCCTGCTTGGAACCCAACCTGCTTAAGACAGCAGAGGCCCACAACCCTCTGGTCACTGCCTTGCAGTGTCGATGGGCAACCTGTGGCCTGCAAGTAGCGTCACCTCTACTTGGAAACCCAGCCTCCTGGAGGGAAGTCAGACCCAACAACCTCCAGTTCTGCTGAATTTGCAAAAAAAAACAAGTGCCCAGAAGTAGGATCACCCCTACTTGGTAGCTGAAATTCGCTTAAAAATTCGAGCCAGATTCATGGCAAGTGCTGGGCACCAAAACGTAGGATCGCCCCCACTTGGACCCCAAAACTATGTCACGAAAGCAAGTGCGGCCACACCAAATAGGATTACCTCCTGCTTGAAACCCAACCTGCTTAAGACAGCGGAGGCCCACAGCCCTGTGTTCACTCCCTGGCAGTGCCAGTGGGCAACCTGTGATCCTCAAGTAGCGTTACCTCTACTTGGAAACCCAGCTTGCTTGGGGCAGTCAAAGTAACCAACAGCCTCCAGCTGCTGAAATGGCCAGAAACCAAGTTGCCCAGAAGCAGGATCACCCCTACTTGGAACTGAAATTGTTCTTAAAACTTCAAGCCATATTCATGGCAGGTGTTGGGCACCCTCAAGTAGGACCACCCCCACTTGGACCCAAACCCTATGCCCCTAAAGCAATACGGCCATACCAAGTAGGGTTACCTCCTGCTTGAAACCCAACCTACTTGAGAACGCAGAGGCCCACAGCCGTGTGGTCACTCCCCCTGTGGTCCAAGCAATACTCATGGCAAGTGTTGGGCGCCATCAAGGAGGATCACCCCCGCTTGGACCCCAATATATGTCACGAAAGCAAGTACGGCCACACCAAGCAGGATCACCTCCTGCTGGAAACCCAACCTGCTTAAAACAGCAAACGCCCACATTTCTGTGCCCACTGCCGACACCCAGCTTGCTTGGGGAAGTCAAAACCAGCAGCAGCCAGCGCTGCTGAAATCGCACATATCCAGGTTTCCAGAAGTAGGATCACCCCTACTTGGAAACTGAAACTCGCTTAAAAAGTCAATTCATATGCATGGCAAGTGTTGGGAACCCTCAAGTGCTGGGCACGCAGTGCAAACAGAGCCAAATGGATCAAATGGCCGAGCTTTGCTAACCCCGAATTGCTAGAGCGCCCTCTCACCAAGGTCATGACTGCGGCAACGTTGTCGAGGAACCAGAGACCATGTCGATGTCGAAAAAGGTCGGGGCGCTCGATCAAGGCGCACAACACCATAGAGAGCTCCAGTTGCGTGCCTTGATGGCCATGAGACCGCCATACCCGACTCGCCCAGAAATACCTTGCTCCAAGAAGATTGCAAGTCTATAAAGTTTGGAAGCTGTGCCTCGAGTAAAGTGGCCTGCTTGACGTGCTGTGGCAAGACATCACGAACTTTGCCATGGAGTCTGGTGCGGGCCCAAAAACGAAGATGACCTGTCTTATTGATGCAACTCAGGTCATGGGTAAGTCCCAAAGAAGCGCCAGTGCTCTGCATGGTCTGCGTTTTGTCTTCCGCAAATAAAGATCCGATCATCAGGCATAGTTGTTTCATCGCCCATTGCCCGGAGCCCTTGGCAGAGCGGACATCAGTGATCGCGGCATTAAAGTACAGGGATGTCAAAACTTGGCAATACCAGCGAGTCAGCGCTTCCAACAGTCTGGGAAAATCAGTTGAACGAAGTGATTGCCAGGGGGAGCCTAAACAAGAGGCCTGCATAGACCTGGGATACCGGAGTTTGCCACTCATCAGCGAAACCAGACGACAACGCAGCCTAAGCTCTCCTGCTGACATGGGGCAGTACCTGTAGGCAGACGGCAGGTCCTCTTAGCCTGTCTCCCAGGCATCATGGTGACAAAACTCGGCGACCTCGTCCTCAGACCAACGACGCATAACCAGGCTTATGGGCGACTACATAGTGTAAGCATGTTGGCATCGGAAGAAAGGTCTGATTGCCCTCCGGTGTCACCGTTGTCGATGACTCGTTGTTTCCCCGAACTTTGGGTGGTCACACAGCGCAGGATAAGACGATGTGCCCGGCCGCCAATGTCCCTGAGGAACTCTGCTCGCCGCAGAGGAGGTGTACAAAAACCGTTTCTGGCGTCTTCCAAGGACTGCTGCAGCAAGAATGCATCGCTTCGCCACGTGCTGCTTGAACTCCAGGAACACAGCAGCATGGAGGAGCGACGCCTCGGTGGCCGCCGGGATATCGCTCCCACGAAGCTTACGCTGCATGCACGGTCTCCCCTTGCAACTACCAGGTCACCCCTTACGATGCTTGTAACCAACCAGGTCACCCCTGGTTATTGATGTGGTGAGCCGCTCAATCAAGGTCTAGGAAGGTCACCCCTTACCAGGGCCAGGAAAGAAACAGCAATGAATGCTATTTTGGCTCAGCTCCACTTGAGCCAAAATGAAAGCATTCATTGACTCACTTAAAGATGACACATGCACACCCAAGCCTGCCAAACTCAATGCATGAATATATACACAGATACATATGTATATATATATATATGCCATTGAACAACTAAAATAGAATTGCATATACAGAAATTCACAGGTCTTCAACAAACCACAACTATACCACTATTATATCACCACTATACCACCATTCCTTCCCAAACTTGGACTACCGACCTGATTCGCGTCCATTTGCTCGAAGGAAGCCGCCATGGAAAATCAATCCTCAGCTGAGAAACATCTCTACTATCAGTGCCACACATTTTGCTATGAGATTCTTTGGGCTCAACGATAAAAATACCATCTGGTACCATCTGGTTATGACTAACAGTTCGCCATGGAAAATCCCAACCATAAATGGAGGTTTCTAGCTGGGAAAATCATCTATAAATGGGCCATCTATACCATAGCTATGTTAAATAACCAGAGGGTATATATTTGAATATTATATTCGTGTTCAGGGAGAGGTTACACCAGTCAACCATGTACCAGTCGAAGGTGGGATTGCAGGACGATGACGGGACGACGATGAGGACCTAGAGATGGCCCATGGCCATAGCCAACAGGGGGGGGTTCAATCTTCGATCTTTGGAGAAGGACGTGGCAGCTGGACCGAGTTGTGGCAGGGTACCTTCTGTAAGCATTCCCAAGATGAGCAGCTGGCCAGTGCCGCACAAAGATCAGGGTTTTTTTTTTCGGTCTTCATCGCCCACTCGTTACGGGGTCTGGCCAGGTTGCAGCATGGACCCGTTCTGCCCAGTTGCAAACCACCAGGCTCCTCCCTCCCAAAGACTTCACCAAGAGACGTGATTTAGGGATTCCAGGTGTTCGCGTTTTTTTCGACCCAGAATGAGCCCAAAGACAGCTGCGGCGTTTTTCGGAGGGTCAGCTAAAATCCATGCAAGCGCAAGCAAAAAGTTCCGTGCCAAAAAAACACTAAAGTCCTTCATGTTTGTGAAGGTGACTCTTGAAACAATTCATGCCTACCTGAAACCTAAACCAACAACAAAAAATGGTAAAATAGGTCCCTTGGTTCAGCATTGTTTTCTCTAGATTCCAGGCATGAAAGATGGATGGAACTTGACATTTACCCTCCGGTAAAGTGACATTGATATTGGAAATCCATGGTTTTCCCTTGGAAGATGATTTACCAATAAAGCGTGTTCCATATCTATGCCAGTTTACTGGAGGATAATTTGAATTGTTGGGGGTTCCGGGTAGAGCACCTTTGTGCAATGAAGCACGTCAGTTGCCAAACGAAAAGGGTCACCCTGCAGTTTCACCAAGGACTACCAATGCCTGTGTGAATGGTAGTTGCACCCTACATCATGGTTTGTCACCATCATTGCTGGGGGTAATAATTGTTATTGTTTGTTGTCATTTTTTGTGGTGCTGTATACGCCCTTCTGAGAATGCCCTCGTTATTGTGGGTTCTAGTTCCCATCTTTATTGCTAATTGGCTATGCAATACCGTTGATTCTGCATTTATCGTAGTGGTCTACAATCATCCATATCATAGATCTGGTGGTAGAAGTTCGATCAAGTTCCCTTTCAGTTGTGGTATCATCCATATCAAATCTAGGTAGAAATTTTCCACCCCAACGAGCATCATTCTGGTCCTTGGGCTTACCCTCTGTCATCCCATTCTACCAAATGCTTGAGGGCTGATTTCCCATATTATTGAAGTGCAACCCAACCATCGATCATCAACCAACTACCAACTACCGTAAAGTGGGCTGGCTATATCCTCAGTTTTGAAGATTAATGCCCCCTATGTTTGCTGCTCCTAGACCCCATATCATCATCATCATCATCATCATCATCGTCGTCGTCGTCGTCGTCGTCATCATCATCATCATAATCATAACCATCTCTGGCTAAATCCCCATATGTGTCGGTTGGTACCCCTGTGTCTTGCTGGTTTTTCAGCACCCTTTTTAAAAATTCAATTCTTGAATTCAACATGGAACCTAAAGTAACCTCAAGCATTTCTTCCCGAAAATGACATATGCGGCCAACCGTTGGGTTCCAATGTTAAGTGTGAGGGCTACAACAATGGGTCGGTCCACAAAGCCCGACAAATCAAGGTTCATAACCCCCATTTAACAACCTATAACATATTGAAATAATAACCAACAAGTCAACAAGGCTTTTGGCCATTGTTCAAGTATCCCATAGTCGGCTAAGTCCCTCATTGCATGGTTTGCTTTCAACCATTGATGCCTCATTGTGGGTGTTGAAGCCCATTATTTAAGTTATAGCAGCCCCCAAAAAAAGATGCCGAAACGCTGGAAACCTGGGAAATTGTGAGAAAATCTCATCCATATGTTTATATATACGTGTATATAATATATAATATATAATATATAATATATAATATATAATATATAATATATAATATATAATATATAATATACAATATACAATATATAATATATAATATATAATATGTAATATGTAATATATAATATATAATATATAATATATAATATATAATATATAATATATAACATATAATATATAATATATAATATATAATATATATAATATAATATATAATATATATATATATATGCACACCATCCTGGAAATACTCTTCTATCTTTTCGGTGAGTACTATATCCTGCGCCTACAACATCCACGGAGTACACCGCCCTTCCAACCCCTTCCTGCCTGCAAAAATACCTCCGATGATGCCCAGCAGCTGAGAGAAGAAGGGGACCATGTTGGACCTGGTCCCAGTGATTATGGTAGTGGGAATATAGTGTGGATATATTGGGGATATCGTGATTTTGTGGGATACAATGTGGTTACACTAGGATAGATTGTTTGCATAATTTTCATATATTGTGACATGACCAACCATAAATCACAGTTTGATGGAATCTTGGAATATCGTGGGATACTACTCCTGGGAGTGTAACAAGCTGCCCATATCTCATCCCAAACATGAACTCCATCATTTCGCTGAAGGTTTTGTTGAATTTGTTGAAGGATATGAAGAAAACATGATGGAATAATAATTTAATTTGGGTAAAACAATGTCATTTGCACCATCCCCTGTCATCAACATAAATAGGTGGGAAACCATCCCAAATGGTAGTTTATTATTGTTTCACCCACATTAATCATTTCAAAACGATCCTGATCTTGACAAGAACCAACAATCTGGAACTGATACCATTTCTACCATGTCTGGTTGTTGGTCATTCCAAAAGAATCAATGAAAATCTGCCGCGCAAGCAAAAAATGTGGCACCCACTGGGTTTTCCCCAACACAAGCAGGCTGAAGGTCAGGAGTAAAAGCCCCCAGCCTGCCGGTCTGTGCATTGGGGGTAGTGGTTTATGAAGGATTGGAAAGTTCCATGGTTTTTAGATACTTCACTGGAAACTGCAGCCATTTGTTTAAACAACAAAAACACTATTGTTGCAGAATATGAAGTGTATATCGTTGCAGAATATGAAATATGTCTACTAAAAAAGTAACACCCCCTTCAAAGTTCAGTTCTCATCTATGTTTGAAAGTAACACCATTTCCTTAATGGATAATAACGTCACGTTCCTTTCAAAACAAATCCAGCTGTACTGTGCAAAATAGCACCATTTCTTAGAAAGGTCCTTTCCTTTGAAAATACATCCCATTCATTTGAAGTAAATACATAATCTATCCACAATCTGGATCATTTACAATTCCTGATGTTGGGTTTGGTATGATTTCACCTGAGTTTTCCCGAAATGGCCCAGTTTTTGGACCATCCTACGAACTATGTTATCCCCATTAAATCTGATTAAATCACCCTCAAACTTAAACAAAGCAACCAAGGTCAAACCTCGCCTCCATGCTGCATGTAGGACCGACAGCTGCGCTGTTCCACCTGCGATGATGCGCCACATGTGCCATGAGACATCCAGGGAGATTATCCCTAACCAACCCCATCACCTTGGAAAGTGGTGGTCGAAACCACCAAAAATAACCAACAGAGGGATGTAGAACACAGAAAATGTACCCCCAGCCCCTTGAAAAAATTGCCATAGCCAAAAAAGATGAATGGATCTAATACTAAACCGTGGTGGCACTTAAGTATTTTGGAGAACGGATGAATAAACCGACGGGGTATCCCCAACAGCAAAGGTGGTAGGAAAGTGTGACAGCGACCAGCAAATACCTATCAAATTTCAGGAGCCTCAGAAACCTCCGGAACCTCCAGAAACCAACTCGAAACCTGCGAACTTCGCCACCAACTGCTGTACTGGGCACAGTCGATTGGCATCGCCAATCACTCTTCAGCCAATTAAGTTGCCGCTCTTCTGGCATGCCGTCATTCTATGATCGTCAAGCACCATCTGCACTCAATTCGGTGACAGACCCATGCCCATCGCGCATTCAAGTGAACCGTTGGTGGCCGGCGGGAGGACAGTACGACGAAGGCAAGGAGGCAGCCACGGTAGACGGCCTGAAGAAGAGCAGCCGCCAAGTGCACGCAGCTAAGCTCCACAAAAATCCCGTCATAGGACGGGTTGCCGCTGCAGCCCACGTCTGTACCAGCCACCAAGCACAACTGTTGCCTGGGTCACCTGGGTCACCTCATCTCAGGCCTGGATCGATCCAGGTGTGTAATCCACGCATCGGGGAAGCTACCCAGGTAGCCACCCCCGTCCAGGGAGGTATTTCTCATCCGAAGTGATGAAACCGGATATCGGGGAGAACCACACCAAACATCACACCGAACCTCCGGAACCACCCAGAACTTCCAGAACCTGCACGGAACTTCCTAGAGCCTCCCAGAACCAGCACTGGAAGCCGCACCGAACCTGTTTGAGCTGAGATCCCAAAGCTAACGCTGTTGGGGAAAGAACACCAGCATCAACTGGTTGAAATAGAATTTTGCTGGTCAGTTTGAAGTGGGTCACATCCATGGAAACCCCCTTGTTGTGGATAGTTCCAGCAGTCCTCCCAGGCAAAACCCCTGTCGCCTGATTCGGACAACACCGGCCATGCATGTAGCGGATGAGTACGACACTTTTGATCCTCAGAGGGCATGAGACACCTTCAAAAGCTAGAGAGATGGAGGCCTCCAAGTCAGAGGTGTCAATCATGGGAAAAGTTGATGTCTTTTCACCTTACATATTTGCATGTTCAAGTACCCTCTGGTAATTTAACATAGCTATGGAAAATCACCATTTTTAATGGGAAAATCCACTATAAATGGCCATGTTCAATAGCTACGTTAAATTACCAGAGGGTATCTCATGCCCCACCTTAAAAGCCCCCAAGTTGAGACGGAATCACTTCCTGCTGGCTACATTGTCCTGCAGCTTCACCTGCCTTTAAAAAGCCATATACGTATATATATATATATATATGTTTCCTAAAATAGGGATACCCAAGGTCACCATGGCTTTCCTTGAAAAAAATTGGGGCCTGCCACATCTCCTGGGCTCCAGGCAAGTAAACAATCACCACATGCATGAAGAGAAGCAAGGCGACCGCCTGTTTGAGGCGCTGTTTTTTGCGCTCTTCCAGGATGTCCCCAAGTCAAAAATGGGGATTTTCCAATATTTTCCACTGCTATGTTGGATTACCAGATGGTATTTCTCGAAAATGTGGGTCAAAGATGGAAGACCCAGAGAATCTAGAGAAGAATGTGCGAGTCATGTTTCTCTTTCTTGGGTCATGTTCACCATATTTTGGTGACGGAGAAATTGAACCGGCTTTGGCGGTCCACGAAATTGAACCGACTCCCTGCCATTACAATGGGCTCTATGTGAAACTTCTGTGCAGTCATCTACCATTGTATAGTGGATACTGTGAACCATCATGCCGACCTTTTGCCCGAAAAACATGAGATCATCCTGATTCCCGATGTTCATGGCCACTGATTCATGGGAGCATAGCTGGAACTCCTGGGAAGAACGTTCAAAAAACCGCCATCTTGAGGTGGGACAAATCTGTTGACACCTCCACGAAACTCGGGAATTGAACCTGCTTAAAGCCACGTTCAGATAGCTCCAGATGCACAAACGGACACAAAGGAACCATCTCCTGCAGGTCAGGGCCTGCAAGATGGGACCATGAGGCATGCCGTTGATGAGGTTCATCTTGCCCGCACCAAACCAATAGCCCAGCAAGGCCTCAGATGGAGCGAGCCCAGGAGTTTTCCGTGTTCACTTGCAGAGCATCACTTTTTTCGGGGGTTTGACCGTTTACCCCCCCAAAAGTCATTGGGTAAAAAAGGTCCAGGTTGACAGGGGTCTGGTTTTGGTTCAAGCTAAAATTGGAAGCGATGAAAATCCACCATTTCATCAGTTCCGAACCGGAAACCCCAAGGATTTCCAGAGCTATGTCAGTTTACTACACGGGATGCACATCGACAAGGTACCACCGCCAGGTAGGTAACCAACATGAACGGGCCTGGCAGTGGTCTACCAGCAAAGTATGGAAAGCCGAAAAGCCATGGGGGAAATGATCAATAAATGCTGGAAATTTCACATATCCATGCTACAAATTTGCTGGAGGGATCTGGAGGGATATGGCGAAGAATACGGTGTTCGGATTTCGAAGAAGAGATTTTCTTCTCGGGCCCAAAAATTCCAACGGTCAAGTCCTTATGTTCTCCCAAATATGGGATGCGACTATCCAATTTCAATTCTCCATCATATATGAATGTGTCTGAGAATCGGATTACCCCAAAATTGATGTTTTCAAGTTTTGTATCATAGTCGCCATTATAAATACTTATAAATTATAAATATTTATAAATTATAAATATAGATAGGCTAGACATTAGAGCGTATGCCCTCATTTTGAGACGATGCCAAGCGCCTGAGACTAAGAAGGCCTTCGGAAAGTCCTGCCGCTTGGGAATCAGTGGTTGACCAAAAATATGGGCCAGGGGCGATGAAAACCCTGAAAAAATGAAGGTAGAAATAACACCAACCATTTGAAAAATGATCAAATTGGTTGTTTACGTAGTCTAAAATCAACCGTCTGGATCCATTTGATGATTTTTTTAATGATCGTTTGTGGGGACATGGGACAACATGCTTTTACCGTGCTATGTGCAGTGCTCAGAGATTTCTGACAGCTGCCTTGTCAAATAGCAAAAATCGATGGAATGCAAAAGCAGCCTCAACTGAAGTAACCAAACAAGCTAGAAAACTGCCACCATTTTCAAACTTTCAAACGCAAACATACTGCAAACCTATTTGCAAACAAAGAAGAATAACTTGCAGCAGAGCTCTGGATTCATCATTCAACCTTGTTGTTACCCTTGATGATCCATTCTTCATGCTGGTGCATTTCCATGGTCAAGTTATTCAGAAGCTCTGACTTATTCAGCTGGCAACTTGCCAACCAAAGACGTGGCAATGAGAAAATCTCCATTGATCGATGATTTGTCTCATCAAAAATTGAAATGTTTTCCATTGCCAGGTTACCCTCTGGTAAACTAACATAGCTATTGAAAATGGTGATTTATAGTGGAATTGCCCATGGAAAATGGTGATTTTCCATTGTTTTTTGTATGTTACTAGAGGGTAGGTTGTCGGGGTCTGTGACTTGCATCTTCCCATCTCTTCCCATCCCGTCTGGACTGAAGCCTCCCACTTCCAAGCCTTGGGTTCTGCCATGGTATCGATGAGTTCAAAGTACATCCACTGTCCACTGAAGCTATACACGACCTGGGCCACCAGAGAGTCACTTCTGGGTGTCACAACATAGATATCTATATATATATATACGTAGATGGGTCATTAATACCCTAAGTATGCAATGCCATCATCTGCTTTCTTCCGGTCACCGATAAGGGAAAACTGAATCTTGTGACCATCCACAAAAGAACACACTCAGAATTCAGAGAACTTAATTGGGCTTCTCACGTTGGTCGCCGCACCCAAGCCCACCAAAAAGCTGAGACCTGGTCACAAACGCTCAGCGGCTGAGTTTTTCGGACCCAAAATCTGGATCATTTGGGGAAAGGGATTAAGCACATTTCAACACCACTAAATCATCCAATTCTGGCGACAACTATAGAGACTTCAAGAGGTCGGGTGTTTTTCTCTCACAGAGGCGGCCTGGTTCGAAGAAGTGAGTGTGCTTGCCTTGCCACGTGCGGCCCGCGCGGCGGATGGGATCAGAAGCAGGTTTTGGGGAATCATGGAATCACACAAAAATGGGATGAGGAGGATGGTCATCTTACCCAAACCCCGGAAAAAATCCCCACACATTGTCCCAGGCCCCCAGACCTAACACTCCACAGAGGGACCTCGAGACCATAAGATCCTAGGGATTTTGGCTGTGAATTGAGGTGGCCAGGTGATGCGAGCTCCCAATCTATTCCCGTTTCCAAGGTGCAGTCTGGCCGATTCATGCCAAGGCGAACCAAAGCGATGACCTGAACCAAAGCAAATGCGTTGGTAGTCTCTCTAAAGCCCGTTATATTGAGATCTAGATCATCTAGATATCAACACTCCTGAGATTGGTCGTTGAGTCTGTTTGGGGTGTGAGTCTGTATAGATTGCGTGTGCACTTCTAAGACCCCAAGAAATCAGATCATCAGACTTAGGGAAAATGTTGTCAGATAGCGACCATCTTTCACCATATCCTTAAGCTACCTGCACAAGAGATGGAACGACTCGATTGGAATACCTTCAACCAGCCGGGTTTGGGTCAAGCGAGTCGGCCACAGAACTCAGCTCGGGTTCTCAAGATCCGGAACCAGAGACGCACACGTAAATATCGTAAACATGAACCGCAGCCAACATTGGATGATTTTGGACCCCCCCCATTTTTATCCCTTTTTCAGGAACCCGCAGATGACTCTTCCCAGAAACCAGTGCTGCAGGCCCTTCTCGGTTTCACTAGTTGCGAAGCAAGACGCGATCACCGCGAGAATCAACATGGAGTTGAAGAAGCAGAGCGCAACCTAGGCATAAGGATTGCCACAAAGAGCCATTGTGCTGGAGAACTCCCACACATAGAACCCCTGCCCTATCCTCAAATTTGTCTCGAAATGGCCAGAAAACTGCAATTAACTGCAAAATCCTGGTGAATTTTCGTCCCCAGGATACCATTTTCGTCCAAGGAACTGAATCTTTGAGCCTGCGAAACTTGGGTCTGGAACTGGGTCAATGCTTCAATTCATCTTCCATTCTTGGAGGACCATCTTTCCATCCGACTTGGTAGTTTGGTGACTGACAGGAGTGGATCCCTCCCATGGTTTTTGAATTTGGGTATGGATCAAAATTGGGTCCCCCAAGAATTGGATGGTTAAGATTTAAGATTCGAATTGCCAAACGGCTCTCCAAACATCTGCGGCTCACATGATCCTAGGGCGGCTTTGAGCCAACACATCTCCGACCCGCTCGACGATGTTTTTCCATTTTACGACAGGTAGCATCAAGTATAGCAAACAAAATCAGAGATGGTTTTCAAAAATTCATATGTGTTCATTTGAGTTGGGTTCCAGTCTTCCCATCTCATCCCACCAGGACGAGAAGACTTTGAGCACCTACGCAGCCCAAAGGTCGGTATGAGCAGTGCCAGAACAGATAGCAACACCGCCAGTGGCAAGCACAGCGGCATCGAGTAGAAGAGCTGCCTCAAAAACGAAGGGAAACTGGCTGAGGAACGTGCAGACAAGGTAGGCGTCAAAACCAAACGGTACCCGGGTTTTAAGACCAAAATCTTGCTGATATGGACCATGGATGTTCATCATCCGCTGTTTAGATGGTCTCATAGGTGACATTACCCATTCTAAAATCTGAATCCAGAAAAGAAAATGGCAACACACCCTGTCATCGAGCTCCCAAAGTTCAGCCACTCTGTTTCGGGACATCTATACATCTATGTATATATACATATAAATACATATACATATATATATATATATATGTACATATGTATATATACATATATATATATATATCGTATAAACAGCCTGGCAAAGACGAAAATATCGCGTTTCAACAGCCCAGAAGAGTTGGGAACATGGGAACGTCATCCCTGGAGGAAACCAACCGCCAGGGGTGGCTCCCGGAGCGGAGGTCGTGATGCCAGGACGTCATCGAGGTTCGACCCCCAAGTGGCTAGAGGGGAGTCCAAGTTGGACAACGGTGTCATCAAGTCGTGTGAAAAACTAGCACATGAGTTTCTCACAGAACTGAGGATCATGTCTTTTCACAGTAGCGACACCAAGCTGTTGATCTGTGTTTTTTTTCAACAAACGGCCGCATGGTGACACACTGACCAAGGTCTTTTGCACGTCTCTGGGCCAATTTACCCTGTGGATGCCATCCGAATCCCAGGACAACCCCAGCATATCACTTGCCAAGATTCTGCAAAGTGGTGCCGAGGACCAACCTGAAATCCCAAGTCATCAAGAAAACGTACAAGCGCACAAGTCTGCATAGTGCTTTCGGCCTGAAGAATTATTGGTCATTGGGGATTATCATTCCAAATAGAGGGGGAAACTACAAGCCAGAAGTTGAAACTTGCGATGAAGCTTTAAGACTCAAAAATGACTCGAAAGTTCAACAAACCCCTTGAAAATCAAAGGTCTGAACGGTCCTATTCTGTTGGGACCTGCCCTGCCAAGGGGCATGTATGATGCTTGCCCAAGGGCGGTGTAGCCATAAACCACCAGAGTGACCTGGAAATGTCAACACAGGCGTGACAGGGACAGGCTCCATGAAGTGGCTCTCCAGCAAACAAACATAGCAATATATAATAGGAAAGCCCCCCTACATCTCTACACATGTGTATATATATACATACATATACATATGTGCATATCATATATCATATATCATATATCATAATATCATAATATCGCAATATCATGATATCGTATATCATATACCAAATATCATACATCCATTTATATAGATGGTTTTGCCGTCAAACAGCATGAAATTTCATAGCCATATTTTTCAGCAAATGGCATACTTTGGGATGCCTCCAACTCACGTTGCTAGTCCCAGCATGTACCACTTGTCCGTTGGAGCCAAATCACGGCTTGCTCTACAGTAAATCCCACGTGTTCCGCTAGCTTTACCCACAATAATGAACTTTCCAGAAACTGCCGGGCTGGCTTTTCCCATGAGAAAACACTTGTTTTGCTTCAAACAATAATCTTCTGGCAAACCTTTTGCCCTTGCCAATCACTCGGTGCGAAGGACTTTCACCTATATAATGATAATATAGATAATATATCATTATATATATACAATTATATACATCATTATAATGCCACTGTCCACAAGCGAATTCTTCATTTTCTGCAAGACCCCTCTCAAAGCGGATGAACAAAAGACGAAACCAAGGTACGATACTACCAGCTCGTTCAGACTGAAATGCTGCTGCTGCAACCTGCATCACATTCGGAATCGCAAAATCCTTGAAACATCACCACCCTGTAGGGTAACACTCCAACTCGGAAGGGCCCGGGCCCCATATCCATCCATATCCCGTATCAAACCTGCGCATGGCGCCAATGGCGCCCCAGCCTGACCCATGGTTCCCAAGGGTTCTTTCACCCCCAAGTTCTCCAGGATTGTCCGCGTCCTGCTCATCAATACGGAGGTGTAGACAGCCATGGGAAACAGGCCGCAGATGAAGAGCACCGTTAGCACGAAGCCCAGTCGAGCCTCGCCAAACGCCGCGCGCGACTCACTTTTTTCACCAAATGGGGACCAGTATCATGAAAATCCTGACGTAAATAGAGGTTCATAGCTGGGAAAAACATCTATAAATCGGCAATTTCCACTTGCCAATCCAACTGCTTAGCAGCAGGTTTCTTGCCCGACTGGGTCCACGACGGCGACGCCGTTCAGCGTCAACACGGAAGTTCCCACGATATCTGAAAGCCTCGCTCCGGCCATGCAAACAAACAATTTGGGTCTTGGCCCTGGCAGTACTGTCTTTGCGTTCATTGGAATCCGGACCGAGCACCCAGTTTTGCCAACAAAACTGAACACTTATGCTTTGTGAGTTCATCATGCTGCGGTGTGTACCCAATGACCAAACAATCATTGACAATCTTGAACATGCGAGCTGCAGACTCATTCTTTTCTCCAATGGGGTTTCGGACGTTGCGTCTGCCAACTTCGGCGCGCTTTCAAGCTCAGGGTACGGCCTAAAGCGATTGAAAAAGAAACGGGAGCTTGGACCTGTTACATGTCCAGGTGTGGCAAGCGGCCATAGAGCTGAACATGTAGTTGAAGAAGACGAGCCGCCTGGAGAAGTTTGATGGAGGACAGCCAATCCAAATGGAAACGGATTTGACGTACCTCAGCTCTCATTTGGGTGAGCAGTGGTTGAACATGTGGCATAGCTTCGTCTTCGAACAGGTCCATTAAGTCGATGATACTTTCTTCGATCACATTGAGCTGTTGCACGTAGTGCTGGATGATGATGAATCGAACGAAGAAGGACTGAAGCGACCGTTGTGCAGGCATCTCCATTTCAGAGAACAGGAGTAATGTAAAACTCTGAAAACTTTGGATGTGATAATACATCTTGAGAAATTGCAGGGTGGGAGAGGAAAAATGGGGCGAAAAATTTGAATAAAATGAACTTCGAAATGAAGAAGGTTGACAATGAAGTTGTTCTTGAAAGACATGTATATTGAAAATGTCATGTGTCCAATGTCAACCTTTTGAAGTTCATGTAGTGGCACTTGCCACTGCCACACTTGTGACTGGAACCGAAAACCACATCGTCGAATGAGTGAATTGACAAGCTCACAAGGACAATATGACACACCGCACCACTCAACTGAATGTTTCGTTTCAAGATGAACCCAGTCTCATAAAAATCTATCATGACTTCTTCATGAGAGCATTCTTATGCTTTGTGAGTTCATCATGCTGCGGTGTGTACCCAATGACCAAACAATCATTGACAATCTTGAACATGCGAGCTGCAGACTCATTCTTTTCTCCAATGGGGTTTCGGACGTTGCGTCTGCCAACTTCGGCGCGCTTTCACCCCATGCAGGTGGCCGATTGCTCCCACAACTTCGTGGTATCGACCCTGGTCCTCTCGTGTCCGAACCAATGAGCCACTTGGCTTCGAGAGAGGAAGTCCGAAGGATTGGATTGGCTGGGTACCCTTTCTAGCCACACATGGCAAGAATGGGCTTCTTCAAGAAGAAAGATCTGCCTAAGCAACTTACTGCTAGGATCATTACCTGACCAAGTTTTAAGGAAACTGCCCCGTACGGACTCGCTATCTGTGAAGGCTACCATACGCTTCCCAGCCTGGCCTGGGCACCACACTGAGACAGCGATTAACAAGGCTAGCATCTCCAATTCCTGGATCATGGTGTGTTGATCTGTGCTCATTGCAGCAAGAATGAAAGGTTTCGAAATTTCTTCACTGAAGTATCCCAATATCGTCCCATCACTCGAATATGCCACGCCCCCTACTCCCGAGTAGTTTTCAAGGTCAAAGGAGGCGTCAACATAGATATGTATATGGTCGGACATTGGTCCCCTGATGGTTCTCGGGAGGTTGGACCTCAACTGATGTCTGAGGCTGTTCAAGGCAGTGACGGTGTCATTGCACAAATGAAGTCGATTGCTGGAAATGTGCTTAGACAACACTCGGAGGTTATTTCTGGCACTCCTACCGAACAGTTGGCCACTGGCAAATTGCAAACGGCCTCTGAGCCTTTCACCGTCACTTTTCTTGAGTTTACCCAACTCCAGGATGGAATCAAGTTGTTCGCACAGCTCCCTGACTCGGTCGGCCGTGTTGTTGACGGTCGTCAACCCTGCTCCGGACATCCTGAAATCGAACTCCATACCAAGTACTTTACAAATGGTGTTATAGTCTACCAGCTTGTCCACCGATAACTTCCATCCCAAGAGATCGAACATCGCTGCAATCACCAGGTCGGTGTGTTTTGCGATGGTTGCGTTAGTAATGGAAAAGAAGTCGTCGAAGCACGATGTCCACATCAACTTGAGAAGTTTATTCCCTAACTTCCATATTCCGTGGGCCACACGAAGGAAGGCCGTCACTGATGCAACGGACCCGAAAGGAAGGACCTTCTGTTGAAACACCTCAGCTTTGTTAGTGGCCGGGCAGAAGACAACCAGGTATGCATCTTGGGAAAAGGCCTGGTCACTAAGAGGGATCTGCTTGTATGCGTCTGCCAGGTCCCAGGTCTTCGCCACCAACTCAGGTCTCAGGGACCTGGTCTCAGATTGCCTCAAAATGCATGCGATCATGGACGCCACATGATCCACGGTGTGCACTGTTGCGGTTTCAGTTTGCGACACACTTGAGTTTACAAAAGAGGCCTTATAGTCATCTATGGGTCGCGTCTTATTTTTCTGAAAAACCCCGAATCTTCGGGTGAGAGTTGACCCAGAGGGCAGATCCTCAGGATTGATGGGACCTATGAGGAAACCCTTGGATACTTCTTTCATGGTGGCAGCGTACAGTTGCGAGTCCAGGTCGGCGTCGCCTGAAGACTTGACCATTTGCAGCATACTCTCTCGACTCATGTCCGCTATCCGTCTAAGGTCTTCACAGGACATCGCTGCAGGTCTCACTTTTCGAGAAAAGACATTCGACTCCGGAAGGCTGCCTGTAAGGTCGAAACCTTCAGCCAGTTGTTTGACTAAGTCGACATCTCCGTGCCCTGCATCTTTGAGGAGGCGATTAAACAAAGCCAAATTTTTGCTTCCCAGGATGTCTTTTCTTCGGTCGGACATCAGTTCCTTATTGGAGGTCTCTTCAGAGGCAAGTGATTGTTTCAAGTGGATCCATCTTTTTATCTCCTCCGTACGATCCTGTGATAGTCTCGCAGGGGTTTGGTTGAGGCAGTGTTTAACCACTTCCTCCATTTCATCCGGAAAGAAAGAATGCAGCCTGGTTGGATGACCTACTTCCAAAGCTTTCTGCACAAATTCTTCGGGGTTGAAATGAACTCCTATGGTTACTTTATTTTCTGAATCCACCTTGTTGTTCACACTCGCGCCTGAACCCCCGGGATGAGTGGAGAGCTTTCTGGCGCATGGTGGTAACGGCTGGGCTGTTGGATGCGGCAGAATGGCCTTGAATTCTGGCACCATTGGGGGGAGACCACGTCTCGGTTGCAAATCCGTGGCTGCACGCATGGTGTTCAAGGAGGCTTCTTGCAAGGCGAAAACTGGTGGGGTGCAGCTGATTCCATCTTTTTCCAACTGCGTGGCCAGTTTTGCTGCTATTGCTCGGCAAAGCTCCCATGGATACGTTGTTTCTTCTGAGGTCCTCCAGTGACCGGCTGGATCTTGACCCCAGGGTTCATGTTGATGTTGGTTATCACACATCAGCTCCAGTTGTTGAAAAGTGGGGATGTTGTGAAGAAACTTGGTGAGTTTCCTTCTTGAGCTCCCATACCTGCAGTGGTGGAAAAGAACTTCATATAATGGAAACTTGTTTAGCAGTTGGACAAACGGTTTGGTCGCCCACATGAATGATCTGCCGGGATTTTCCACTGAGAAATACTTTTTGTGTTGCAAGCAGAATTCAACAAGGAAGCAAGTGACTTGATATAGTTCATTTGCCGCTTGAACGCGGGCTTTGAGACTGCCGGTCAGGTCGGGTATGCCGTCTGGGTGTCTTTCTGTGCGAACAATTGGTGGGTTCCATCGACCTTTCCTTTGGATAAGGCGGGCTCGTGAGCTGGTGCCACACGGCGGAGCAAAATGCACGTAAATGCAAAATTCTGAAGCGATCAAATCCTGTACAAGCTTAACATGGTCGGGCTTCAAAAGATCATATTTAACTATGGGACTTCGGAGATGATCAGGCAATTTTAAATCGACACCAAAACTGTCTCGAAGGCCTAATGATCTCAAGGCGGCTGTTAGCTTTCCCGAGCCTGCGAAAACTTCGATGCAAAAGTATTGGCCTAGTGAACGGTCCTGATGACGATCCTGGTGAGGTGACCCTGCACTGCTTCGAATGTCAGGGATATCGTTGGTCCTCGGAGATTGTGGCAAAATTGGATCGGGCAAAACCGGGCCGTTCACTGGAGTTTGTCACTGGTGATTCTGGAGGCTATGTGGTTGCTCACAGTTTGGCTCTGCACATAAATGCAATCCGCGAGCACACTTGCCTCCTGGTTTTGCGTCCTGACACCCCTGAGGGAGATTGTATGCCCAACATAGGCGCTCATTCGACTTGGTGGTCAGGCTCTTTCCTATGAGTCCTCGTGGAATGTTAGGGCCACGTCCCCTTTTGGATTTGCCCCCTTTGCCTTTGCCTTTGCCTTTCGATGGGGCTGCTGGATTCCCTTTTGGTGGAGTGCGCGACCTTGTTCTCTTTGGAGTTGCAGCTGCTTTGGGTTGAACTGGCTTGTCACTGCTGCTCTTCAGCGGAAGCGGCAATAGATGGAATGTCACTGATGGATGTGCAAGCACTTTGGCGATCTCTGTTTCCAACGGCAGGGTGCCCTGCTGATCTCTCTTGAGCGTGCTCAATTTTTCTGCCATGTGGAGCCAGGCTGCACGATCTGCTCGCAAAATCTGGGCCAATGAGACCGATGAGTAACCTGGTGGTGGTGCTACATGCAGGTGGTCGAAGAGCTCCGCATGGTAAGAATTCATGATATGATAGTTGCAGGCCTGAACCAAATCGAAGGCTAAGGCTCTTCGTCTCATCGCATTTGCCGTCTCCAGTTCAGTGGATGTTGAGCAGCTCAGGTCCTGTGCCTTGTCTCGCACTACCAGAGAGCTTTGATCAATTGAGATCTCCTTGGTGGTCTTCTTGTGAGACAACTCGGACCTTCTGGTAGCAAATTTGTCTGGTGACAAATACACAAGTGAATCCTTCTCAAGCATCCCCAAAACAAGATCATAGTTTTGAAAAGC